AAGGCTGGATTTGTGGCTACATATTGTTTAAATTTGTTTTTATCCTGGAAAATTTTGTTTTCTCCATTTATAGTGAACAAAAGCTTGGCTGGGTATAGTACTCTGGGCTTGCATCCATGGTCTCTTAGTTTCTGCAGTACATCTATCCAGGACCTTCTGGCTTTCATGGTTTCCATGGAGAAGTCATGTGTAAGTCTGATAGGTTTACCTTTATAAGTAACTTGGCCTTTTTCCTTTGCAGCTCTTAATATTCTTTCTTTATTCTGTATGCTTTGTGTTTTGATTATTATATGGCGAGGGGATTTTTTTTTGATCCAGCCTATTCTGTGTTCTGTATGCTTCTTGAACCTTTATAGGTATATCTTTCTTTAGATTGGGAAAGTTTTCTTCGATAATTTTATTAAATATATTTTCTGGACCATTGAGCTGCACTTCTTCTCCTTCTTCTACTCCTTTTATTCTTAGGTTTGGTGTTTTTATTGTGTCCTAGATTTCCTGAATGTTTTGTGATGAGAGTTTGTTGGACTTGCTGTTTTCTTTAATCAGTGTGTTTATTTTCTTTATGTTATCTTCAGAATCTGAGATTCTTTCTTCTATCTCTTGTATTCCGTTGGTTATGCTTGTTTCTGTAGTCTCTGTTTGTTTACTTAAATTTTCCATGTCCAGCCGGCCCTCTGTTTGTGTTTTCTTCTTTGCCTCCATTTCAGTTTTCAAGTCTTGAACTGTTTCCATTATCTGTTTGATTGTTTTTCCTTGGTTTTCTAGGGTATCACCCACTGATTTATTCAATTCTTCAAACTTTCTGTTATATTTCTCATCCATTTCTATAAGGGCGTTCTTTACATGCTGTTTAATGGCATCAATCACTTTCATAAAGTCAATTTTTTCTACTACTTCTTGATTAAGGTGTTCATGTCCTCCTGATGTGAGGTTGCTGGTTTCTGGTGGTTTCATGTTGCTTTTCAGATTGTTGGGTGAATTCTTGCATTGGTGCCTGCTCATCTCTTCCTCCGAATGCGCCCCTATGGATCTTCTTTTACAGGATCAGGTCTCCTTACCTTCCCAGTGATGGCTCTCCCCAGTGATGGCTCTTCTGGCGCTGAGATCAGGTCTCCGTGCTGGTTGGGTAGCTCCTAAACAAACAAAGCGCCTACCTTGCTTGGTGCAGGCAGGCTATGGAAACAAGGGAACTCCCGCCCACCTGTTTGCCCTGAGGATTCGGACCCAGCGCCCAGACAGGCTGAGCTGGGTGATGTTATGTGCCCAAAGAGGGCGGGGGGGGGGCAGAAGGGGGGAGGGTTCTGGATGCAAGCTGGGTGGGATAGGAAGAAAGAGGCAGTATGCAGGGAGTAGAGGCCCTGCAGAGAGCCCAAGAAGGATAGGGGGTTGAGGAACTTCTGAGTTCCCTGTCCTGGGCTGCTGCCACGGGGTCAGAAACTCACCCCAATGCAATCTAAGAACTTATTCTTATGTTGTCATTTCCTCCATGTTTCTTGTCCTTTGTGTGCATTGGGCTTCTTAGGTGTGCAGCTTTATGGTTTTCATTGGTTTTAGAGATAAATTCCGTCAGACTTCAAGATGCTTTCCCTCTCTGTTAGGAGTACTCGAATTATTCATACATCAAACCATTAGAGGTTGTCCGTGGCTAATTTTTCTTTTCTTTTAAAAGTTCACATTTACTTCTCAACACATTAAAGCAATATAAAGTCTTGATACAGAGTCTGGCTCGGTTCGAACCCATGATCCTTCTGCCTCGGTGCTCCCTGCATACTGGAATTATAGGTTTGTACTACCGGGCCCAGGTTGTTCACATTACCTTTAGTTTTCCACATTTGTTTTTTAATTTTCAATACTTTTTTATTGCTCAATCTTCAAGTTCACTAACCTGAACCATACATCATAAAACATTTCATTTCTTTTGTCTTATAAATACCATGCCAATAAAATTTAGACACTGGTACATCTAGTTTGATGGTAAGACAAGAGCTTTCTGTTTCCTTTATCTTCCAATTACATTTTATATTGGCTTCAAGTGCAATTGCAATTCTCGTTGATTTAATTAGATGTGTGCTTGGCCTTCCCACTCCCTTACACTTTTTCTCTGATGGAGCTTAATAAACGCAAGTAGTTTACTTACCTTGGTTCATGGGCTCTTATATATACAGTGCTCTGATTGCCCCAATAACATTCTGAAATGATTTAAAGTCATGCCTTAGTAATTGATAAGACTTCTCTAGACAAGAAAGATGTCGCAACACTAAATCTCTTAAAGATCCAGAAATGAGAATGCCGAATGGGTATTTCTTTCAAGTTTAGCAGTCTTTTGCAAAAGTCTTGTAGAGGCAGGTACTACACTTCAGTCAGAAATAGCTCATCTAGAAAGTTTGGGCGTCAGAGTGGGGCTCTTATGATGTAGTGCGCTAAGATGAGTCCTCGACCCATGCAGTGATCTGAGTCCACCGTGTGGGGAGCTGTGCACCTAAAACTATTTTTAATCTTCTGGTGGAATCTTTGCTTTCAGTATTCACTATGTTCTTAGAAGATTTTTCTGGGTTCATCGGCAGAGTCAGTGGGAACCAAGTTGACGCCTTGATGCCTGTTACTTGTATTGTAAGAGGAAGAAACCCCAGAGGAAGGCAAATTTCAGCTACAAAGGAGTTCTGTGGTTGATTACACCCCTGCCTGTCAGAAATCCTTCCGTTTAGAGATAACCTTGGGGAGACTTCATTTCCTTCTCATGGGTTATGGACTCATTCTACCAGGAAAAACTGTGCACATCTTTTTTTTTTCCCACACACTCACCAACACAATCTCTCTCTCTCTCTCTCTCTCTCTCTCTCTCTCTCTCTCTCTCTCTCTCTCTCTCTCTCTTGCATGGCTTTGATCTTTAATGGCTGGCAACCTGATGGCTGAGAGACGAATGGAAAGAAAACTCAACGTGTTTTTTTCTCAACTCAGAGAGATATTTGCATTTCAAATGAACAGTCTTAAAGATGAAACAGCATTCTGTGTGTTAGGAATTAATACTTAATGGTGGAATTGAGAGAGATCTAAGGGGACTGGGATTTTTGGCCCACGCCTATCTTATCAGACTGTGTCACTGTCTTTAGCTTTTTATGCCTGTATTCAGCTTTCTCACCATAGCCCAGTCTGGGCTTTTAATGTGTTGCAGAAAATTAAAACCTGATGATTACAAGTGTGTGTGTGTATGACCATGTGTGATTATATGTAGGGGGTTCTAACTACAAATTTCTATGTGAAGCTATTAACAGAATCCAAACTATATGTTCATGATCAGCATTCAGAAAGTATTTATCTGTCGTTGAGTTAACGTTAATATAAGATTGCTTTGTGTATGTGCGTGTGAGAGAAACAGAGATAGACAGAGAAAAGGAGACACACAGAGAACATGTTCACTGATTGTAATGTGAAACTCGATTTATGAGATTTGCAGTATATAAATATATATATTTATATATATATTCTTAAATCAACATAATAATACCAAATTTCAAGCTGTATGTTCCTCTATGCTTAGGAGTGAGCATGATATTTAATTATTTCTGCTGATTTCAGGGCTAAAATGAGGAGATTTTCAAAGTGTCTCCAGAATGGTCCATGTGAGACTTTCTTATCTAATCTCGTTGCTATTCAACTCCCAGGTATTCTGAGGATGACTACATTCAGATCATCACTAACATAAAGAATTGCCCATGGAGACGGCATGCAGAAGAATATGAAAATTTCAGGTAAAAAAATTTTCATAAATAATATGAGTGAAAAAATACATCATTTGATTTTTACAGAATAAAAGCAACATGTTGTTAAAAAAAAAAAAAGTGGGAGGGACTAAGGGGAACCCAGAAGAGCTGAACTCTACAGTCTTTGGAAACTGTTGTATTCTATTCCATTGGCTGATGCAGGCATTTACAATTTTGCTACTGGAATTAACTCCAAAGAAATCAGAGTTCAAAAGAAAGTTTTTTATTGTGCCATTTACTGTGGGTTAGATTGATGTCAGTTCTCTGTGTCATTTATACTTGCTCAATATTTATTTTGTAAATAACATGTTATAGCATTGGGGGATTCTGGGAAAGCACAGAAGGAAGAGAACTGCCCATGAGCCCATTGCTTTAGAACAAAAACTGGACTGAGGAGATGGTCCAGGGTTTAAAGGACTTGCTGTGAAAGCATGAAGACCTGTGTTCAAATTCCCAGAACCCACATAAGAAGCAGGGCATGGTCCTGTGTTCTAGTATCCCCAATGCTGTGGGGCGTGGAGACAGGAAGATCACTGAACTTGCTGGTCACCATACTAGCTCCAAGTTCAGTGAGAGACCCCGTCTCAAGGGAATAAGATAAAGAACAATAGAGTTGGGCACTAAGCATCCTCCTCTGGCCTCCACGTTCATACACACTCACAAGTTAACACACCACATACTTATACACCAAATATACACGCAAACTTAAATAAATTGAAGACTAATAATGTTTTTTACTTTCTACATATCATCTTCTAATTTTTTTCCTCTAGTTTTTATACCACAGGCAGCATTCAGGGGCCCGAATTTCTCCAGCTATTAACCCACTGAAGTGCCATCAGTTTGGCAAAATAATGCTGCCAGGCCACCATTTGAGAGCCATCAGCAGGATGGATGTATCAGCTTATCCCTGTACCTCTTGCACTAGGACAGTGACAGGAGGATTGCCACAAGTTCTAGATCTACATAGCGGGTCCTAGGCATAGCAAGAACTTTTTCATCCAGTCAGTCAATCAATCAATCAATCGACTAATCAATCACTTATTTTACTTCTAATGCATTTACATCTCGGTCATTTGTCTCTTTGTGCTTTCCCAGTCGTGATTATTCTAGTGTGTCGGGTTGGTTTATTGCCTATACCCCAAGTCTTTGCTCTGCATTCGGCACAGCATTTGGTCTATGCTAAACTGTTTTTATCACGTGATCTGGAGGCTTGGCTTTCTTTGCCCATAAGCCAACAGTCTCTATTAAACAGTATGTCTTTCTTATCACCAAGACTTTGCTCCCCTTTTTGTGGGAAGGCTGTCCCCTTGTGCTCTAAGTGGAAACCCAGTAAGAGAAAATGTCCAGTTAGTCTCCACTGGGAAAAAGAGTAACTTTTGAACTAAGTCACAGCACAACACAAGTCTCTCCTCTCTGTTGGACAGACATGTGGATGCCTAGGTTTCCTATCGGACCCTGTCTCACATTGGTCTCCCTTCAGCTGTGGTTTCAAAAGACATGCTCTCCCTAAATGTGCATGTTGAGTGCTAGGTTCCCAGTGCCATTGCTGCTTGGGGAGAGGAGGGGAAATCCTAGAAAGTTCAGGAGTCAGGACATGGTTGGGAAAACTAGGTCAACAGGTCACATATATTTCAGGGTTTACCTAGTCTCCAGTCCTTTTCCTCTGCTTTTCAACAGCCATGAGGTGATGAAGTACTTCTACTGCATGCTCCAGCTGCTATGATGTTCCACCCAAAATATGATCCTTTGACCAAATCTTTTGTGACTGTGAGCCCTCCCAAAGGAAAAAAAAACATAAAAATGAGAATTCTTCACTTTAAAGTGTTTGTCAAGTATTTTATTCATAGCTACACAGAAGTAAATCATACACACTCAGATAGGGATTCCAGTTCAACTGTTTGAGCTCAAAGATATTTTGTCTTGTGCTGTGTAGCTTAGGACCAGACTTGAAACCTTATAGAGAATTGTACCATCATAAGCTAAGCCAGTGAGTGGAAAGAGGTTTAGATTTTAAGAGACCTTTATAGAAGGCAGGGTGGACAAGAGACAAAGAGGAGGCACCTGGCCTGAGTTACTGAAGATCAGTCTAAGCTTCTCAGCTAAAAGACAGGGAAAGTGTCCACAGTAATCAAAGTCAGGCTTTGAGCTTCTTTATTTCTGGCCATGGATTCAACGTAAGCCTGCTGAGAGTAAAGCAAGAAGAACAAGGTGCATGGGCCACCTGTGTGAGGCACTGAAAGCTGTGGAGGCAGGGGAGGTAGGGGCTGAGAGCAAAGGAGGAAGAGCCCAGCCTCTGATGCTGCTCATCCTCACAAGATACTTGCTGAATGTCAAAGGGCCAAGAGGCAGAGAAGTTAAGCAGGGATTCCAGAATCCCTTGGAAAGGCCAGTTCTCAAAAGGACTGGAGCCTAAATTAGAATGATTTCCATTCTCGGCTGGATTTAGGGAGATCTGCCCTTAGCCAGGATAACTAATGGAAGCAGAAAGTAAATCCTCTCTGAAAGAAAGGAGGGTTATTCAGAGACTGAAATTGACTTTGCGTATTCTCACACACAATCTGACACAATTAAAATAATATTTTCTATTCAAGATATTCCTCTTATCCTCTTCCTTTTGAAGATAAAGCCTTAAACTGGCTATATAATCAAGGATAACCATGGTCTCCCGATCTTCCTGCCTCCACCTCCAGAGTGCTGGGTTTACTGGTGTGCACAACCACAGTATTGTGTTTATGTGGTACAGGATTTTGAACCCGGGGTTTCATGTGTACTAGCTAAGAATTCTACAAACTGGGCTACATCCTCATCCCCCACTTAAACACAAACAGCAGTCTCTTTAAAGCTAAAGTTGCACGATGAGCATCCCTGCTGTATATTATGATGGATGGGAACTATATGATAGATGGTACCATTTTGCCTTAGTACCATTTTCACATGAAGAGTGAATCAGTAACCATGGTGATTACCCAGCAGCCTATCCATCCATCCCTTTAGGGCCAGTTGAAGTAAACATCTGGGGCTACACCACTTATTGTTTGTTGCAATTCAAGAGGATAGTCGCAGTGACATTTATTCATTTCCTTGAATATGTATTATATTATAATGCTTATTTTATGGACATATTTGTTAGCTAAATGATGCAAACCCTCAACAGAAGTTCATGCAATTAAATTATAATAACCAAATCTTGGAGCTTCTGCCTATTTATAAACCTGGCCTTATAGAACACCCCCTGTTATTATAGATGTCAAGTAGCTAAATAGCTTTCCATCTAATTTATTTATAACATTTTATGTCAAACTGAAGAATAAAATGTATGTTTTAAAAAGGCAATAACATTCTTTTAGCAGCCATTACAAAAGTGACATTAAATTCTCAAAAATATGAGCAAGTGAATATATAATAAAATCTATCTGAAACCCAATTGTTGAAACTTTCTAAGGTTGACTCCTGGGGACTATTTAAAATTTATAGGATTTCTATGGTCAAATGAGCTAAAAATATAAGAGCTTAAAAGTCTTTTTTCCCCTCTTAAATAAATATGCTAGGAAGAGGGCTACAATTTATTCACCCACAAATATTCCTTTGGACTTACTATGTCAGTATGGACAGTAGCCTCTTTTATTACCAGGTACAGTATTGTGTACAGAGAAGGCCTCAATAATAATAGCTAAATGAAAGGATCCATGAAAATTAATCAAGAAAAATGCAGTTTCTTTATTGACCTCAAAGAATTTTTGGTTAGTTCAGGAAGAAAAATAAGCAAACAAATAAAATGTAAATTTACTTATGACCTAATGTCAGAAAGATTACTTTAGATAAATGCTATGATGACCCAGGGCCAGATCACTGTAAGAGGAATTTCTTGAAATGTTTTCTAGAAAAAAAACAGAACTTGAGTATTAGCTCTGAGGGCGGATAGAAAGGGAGGCAGGGACCAGTGTGGGAAGGAGGAGGCCAGGAATTAATTTCAGGTCTGTCTGGGTGGGAGCTATAAACTTGTACTTGGTATAAAGAGATGGTTGTAGGCAGAGTGGGGAGGGCTAGAGGAAAGTCCCTGGGTGTCCTCTGGACACAAAGAACCAATAGAGATATTCCTAGCAGGAGTTACACAACAGATTTATGGTGTTAGGGAAAGTACTCAGTCAGCACACCGTTGTGTGAGTTGGGGTGTCAAGTAGGAGTGTGGAGTCAAGGAGGGGCTGCTTATAGACAGTGACCACAGGAGAATGGGGATGTGAAATATAACGGTGCCCACTTGACTGAGCTCTCTGGGCATGGCCTGTTTTATCTTATGTCTCCAATACTCTGCCATATGAATCTGTGTGGTTGAAAGTCAGCAAGCCTTTTTAGTTTTTTTCATTTCAGTTCTATAATCAAAGGAGAAGAAAGACAAAGTTAAATATAAAAGTTTAGATCTGAGTGTTTGGGAAAATCATAATTCTACTGACCAAAACAGCTTTCAAAAGAAAAATGCTTTTTGAGAAAAGAAGCCCTTCTTGGACATGCTGTGTTTGAAGTAACCCTGGGACAAGTAGGCATAGAAGACCTTTCTTTATTCTGGAAATATAGTGAAGCTGAGAGAAAGTGTGCTCTCCAAGTCAAAAAAACAAGTGGAGGAAAGTCCCTCTTCTCATCAGATTCTCTTTTTAGCTATGATATTTTTTTCTTCTTTTATAGATGTCTAATCTTTACTCATTCAGCATTTAATTGTGAGCCTGAGAACTTTGAAGCCTGGTGTTGGTATCACTTCTTTCTTTTAGATTTTACCTGGTAGGGCTGGAGAGATGGCTCAGCAGTTAAGAGCATTGCCTGCTCTTCCAAAGGTCCTGAGTTCAATTCCCAGCAACCACATGGTAGCTCACAACCATCTGTAATGAGATCTGTTGCCCTCTTCTGGCATACACACAGATAGAATATTGTATACATAATAAATAAATAAATAAATAAATAAATAATAAATAAATAAATATTTTTTAAAAAAT